TCTCTCTCTCTCTCTCTCTCTCTCTCTCTCTCTCTCTCTCTCTCTCAACAACCTTGACGTTGAGCTGAAACAGGAAGTGTAGCTTATTACATGACTGAGGCTGAAGCAGCTGACATTCAAATGATCCTTCAACCCTCACTGTAAACTCTGGCAGCAATTGTTACAAATACTATTTATTTATCTTTTTGATTGGCTAAATATGGGTTGAGCACCATACAAGTGCAGCTCACAGTTTTGGGAGGAACACACTTAATGGGGGAGTTGGCACATTTTTTTTAACATTGTGATGACTGGGAAAATTATCCTGAATTAACCATATAATTAGAGTCTCATAGCAAGTCACCTTTGTGAAAAATAAGTATGTTTAACTGTATTGAATGTGCACTTGTAGTGTACTTCAAATCTTAAAAATATATTTAAAAAACTGTATTTGCGGAAAAAATAATATTAATGAAATAAAAGGCTAAGCGAACTTAAAGAGAGAAAATTTCATGACTGTTTCTTAACACACTTAAGGACACTTTTAAAAAGTGCACTTTGTAATAATATTAAATTAAACGTTTCATTTAAAGTGCATTTGAAATAATTATGTTTTAATAATATTTTGTCGTGTTTTAAAGAAGTACACCTATTTTGATGTGTTGACTAAAGCACATGTAAATTACTTGATTAGAATTTTAACTGTTATTTTATATACTATTTAAGATTAATATATTTTAAATATACTAAATAACTTCACAAATGTATATAATTACAAAATTAATACATTTGTCATTATATTTGTCAGTACATTTTAACCATATTTCAAAGACAATAGAAATAATTATGAAAATACACATACATATGTACTTAAGTCCTACTTAAGTGGGTCAGAAAGCACTGTAAAGATCAGCAAATTGCATTTAATCTAAATTTAAAATATAAAACATTTTTTGCAATTAACATACAATTAACATCTGAAGTCATTACATTAAGTTTGTATATAATCAATATCAATAATTGTGTCTGTGGGAGGTAAATGAATGAAAATGAAATGCATTCAATTTTCACAGAATCAGTTTTAAAATCTTCTCACTAAACCTGCATATTTAGTTCATATACTGTCATAGATCTCATCCAAAATCTTTTGTTGCTTTCAATACAAAAATAAACAACTAACTGTTCACATAAGTGCTCTTTAAATGTCTTTTAAACAAATATTTAATTATTTATTGTAGTTACAATAAAAAGTGCATTGATTACAGTGGGTCTAAACTGGCTCGGTCATTCACCACCTGTTACTCAAGTCATGTGCAAGCGAGGCTTTTAAAGATCTTTCTTTCTGAATGGATCTCATGTAATACAAAAAATGTTTGCAATTATCAATGTAATCAATCAACTGGATAAGTAAGGTGATAATTAGTAGTTAATTTTTTTTACCCTATTCACCTGCAGTGTCTCGCCTTGCGCTCCTATTGTATGAAGCTGACTGTCACTCTGTTATGACAAAAGACAAAAATCACTATAAAATGTGCATGCTTAATGAGATCCTGAAAGCCTTTACTGCCACACAATGGGAACCTACACACATGCGAAGCACAATCATATATTATTTAGAAACTCTGAGAAACAACTGGCATTTGAAAAAGGGGATTACAAGGACAAAATAAAGTTTGTTTGTCCATTCTGACTTGGTATGAGAGCCATTGTTACACTGGAACTGCTCTGATCACTGATTTGGGCTCCATTACTCCTGAGGATTACTAATAAGTGTAATCATTCATTTGGAGGACAACATTTCATTCATGTATTGCACCCATTGCAAAAATGACTAAAATCTTGACTATATTTCTGCACTATTCTTAGTCTGAACGTAGGAAGTCATGTACACCTAGGATGGCTTGAGGGTGAGTAAATCATGGGCTAATTTTCATTTTTGGGTGAACTATCCCTTTAATTGCATGTTATTTACAAGTACATGTATTATAGTTTAAATGTATATTAAATGCAATTAGCTGAACTTTAGAGTGCTTTTAACCCACTTAAGAAGGACTTAAGTACATCTTTATATGTAATTTAATATTTACTTCGATTGACTTTGAATGCTAAATATGGTTAAAGTGTTACTGCTTAATGACAAGCATTTATGATAAACTAAAATATACTTTAATGACATTTCTATTGAAATTGGTATGTCATGTATTTAAATATATTTGTAATTACACATTTGTAAAGATGAAGTTGTAATTTAGTACATTTAAAATATATTAACTTTAAATATAATATTGAATAACACACCACAGTCAAAATTATAATCAGGCATACTAAAAGCTATCGTATGACATAGGAAGACATGGAACTAAGTTGTATGATATTTTAATGGTGTTTTTGAAGCCATGAAGAACATTTTTAGATGTTTCTCTTTTCAAGGTTTTATGCACTGCAAGCTAAGTTAATTTCTCTGACACTGATGTGTTCTGGCTGTGAACTTGTTCTTAACTTCATCTCTGCCAAGAGTCCAGCTCCATGGTCACTTGTTAAGATCGGCTCCTCCAAGGCCTCGCAGCGAGAGTTGTCAGCATTTCTAATACCCTTGAACAGCGTGGAGTATAAATCAGTTGTAGCCCACAGTGTGTGGAGTATGTAAGCACACAAAGGCTAGAGAAGATCATTTGAGAAAAAAACAACCCCGAATAAACCTAAAACAGTCCGGTGTGCACATTTTATGAGCAACTTTGTAGTGTAAGTTTTACAATGCCATACTGTAAAAATATCCTGTCATTTTTTACAGACAAAAAAAACTATTGGACAAGCTTCATTTGAGAATCCCATGTACGATACAAACATGAAGCCAACAGAGGCAAAGGCTGTGAGGTTTGATACGACCCTAAATACAGTCTGCACAGTAGTATAGCCTTCATTATCAGCTCTGGACCGACCTGCCTCATGGGTAATACTCCTTTACGACAGACTGCACTTTGCTATAGATGCGACTTACTTTTATCACAAGCTTACAATGGACAAAATAAAACCGATGACTATGTTTTTTACAGAAAAAAAAAAAAAAAAAAAAGGCTGCTGTGTAAACATATTTACAAAAACTGTACATTTTACAATTCAAAAAAAGAATTTTTCTGCTGAATTATCAAGGCTACGCCATAAAATGTGCTGCACACATCCGAATATTTGGGTTGAAGTGTTCTAAATACAGTGTTGTAAATACAACTTAACCACTGATTTCTAGTCGTGTCCATTTTTGGAAGACCAAACAAAGTAGTTTCGCTTTTACAACGAAGCACACAGCGTCTTTACGACATTGCGGCGGAAACAACAAAACTACAGCGAGAATAAAAGTTATGCCTTCTTTCTTTGCGTGAACATTTGGGTGGCGTTATGCAAATCTTCCCACATAGTGAGGTAGATATGTGGGGGCGTGTTAGAACGAGCCGTTTTAGGTAGGCGTGGCTGACTCTTAACTTTTATAAAGAATATCTCTTTGGATTTGAGACTTTAGTCTTTGCAACTTTACAGATCTTCTTTATGCACCAAGAGCTTGTAACACTCCAAAGAGAAAGGAAAAATTGAAATCGCATCATATGGCCCCTTTAAAATCTGTTTTTACCTTTACATTATACTGACGATCAGGTGGTAAAGAGAAAAACACACGATTAATCAAAGCTCATCACAAATAGCTTTTCCAAAAGCTGTGGTAAAAACTAATACAAGATGCAAACAAAAAAAACACCATTAAAACACTAAAATAATGCAATGAACATTCATTTAGCAACATAAGACGTAACACAAAACCGTAATGTACATGTCTGATAACAAATAATTGAGAAACAGTTATTTAAATGAAAAACCAAATGTAGGGCTGTCACACAGGGAATTCTGGGAATGTCAGCTTACAGTTTTCCCACTGTAAATTGTAAGATGACTTGTTCTTTTTCACTGCCAAAAACTGTAAATATAACAGTATTTTACGGTAAAATTGAATTAAATCTAAGTTAGATCAATTACAGTTTTCACCATATATATTAAGGAAACCTACCATTAAGCAGGGTTTTACTGTAGCATCTACAGTTAATTTCCAGTGCTTTTAAAATGTTTTCTTTAAATATTGTAATGAACTGGACAGGAACATTAGGCATCTGTAAAACGGACAGTAGTTCTCGATGACTTCAGTGCAGAAAATGGAAACTCATCTGGACTGAGTCATGACTTCATATAGAATATTCCTTTTAATCTTCCAATTTCACTTAATTTTCTTTGCTGTGTTTAAAATGAACAAAAATCAGCGTATTCTGTACTTCGTAAAATTCCTGTTTGCTCCTCTTTCTGCCAAATGATCTGTCATGGATAGTATTTGGTGTCCCTCATCGTAAGATGGTAATTTTTTGTGAGGACATTGTCCGTTAAATTTAAGCACATTTCCTTTAATGCCAAAACACAACACAACGAAATGCGTAATTCTAAATATGGCAAAAACAGCTGTGAAAAATCAATATGGAAAATTCCTTCATATTACCACAGTACATCAGCCCGGGACTTTTCTTAGTGCTGTATTTTGCAAAAATGCACAAAGCAGTTTATAGACCATTTTATAAACAACTTTCTATAAAACATTTTATTTGAACAGATATATAATGTTATAATTAGTGTCATTCCACAACTAGGCCCTAAAAGTAATTCAGCACTGAACACAAATTCTATGTAACCTTATTTTACAAGATCAGAAACGTACAGCAAACAAGCAATAATGCTACTGAACATATCATTATTTACAGCATCAGAGATTTACAGTACAATAATAGCAGGTGCATAGCAGAAGAGGATCTCTGTCCAG